GTAATCAGGGCCAGCAGTACGTGGGTAGTCACAAATCAGGAAGGTTATTGGAAAGTGACTCACAGTTGGGACGTTCTGGACCTTGGGTCCCCGCAGGCCCTTGTGTTCTCAGAATAGACATAAAAATCATGCTGGGAGCACGAGGTGGTTACAAAGGGAAAACTACGACTTGAAGGGGATAGACGATGGGGGTGAGAGGGAAGATGTTGCACCTCACTCTTCCCTGTTCTGTGGCCGTGAACTCGGTCTTGGCACCGACAGGTGGTGCTGCCTTGCCCTTCTTCCAGCCATGACCTGCCAGGCTGGCTGCTGGCAGGGCCCAGGGCCTGGCTGCTGCTTTTTGACATCCTGGCCTTACACTCGTTTCCTAGGGCAGCTGTAACAAAGTACCACCAGCTGAATGACTTACACAACAAAAATATATTGTCTCGCCATTTCAGAGGCTAGAAGTCCAAGATCAAGGTCTGATTCCTTCTGAGCCGGGGAGAGAGGATCTGCTCCATGCCTCCCTCCCAGCTTCCGGGAGCCTCAGGCGTCGCTTGGCTTGTAGATGGCACTATTCCTGTGCCTTCACATCATTTTTCCTCTCTGTGTCTGCCTCTGTCCAAATTTCCCCGTATTGTAAGGACACCCGTCTTACTGATTAGGGCCCACTCTGATCAATAGTGACCACATCTTACCTTGATCATCTGCAAGGACCCTATTTCTAAATAAGGTCACATTCGCAGATGCTGGGGGGTAAGGACCTCAACATCTTTTGGGGGCACACAACTCAACCTAGAACAGGTCTGTGTCAGTGAGCGGGAAGGAGGACCTCATCACCCAGGCCCGCCTCCCCCGGCCCCAGTCTCCTCCACAGTGTCTCTGCTGGGTCAGTCCTGCCGCTGGTTCCAGGAAGGCTATGTTTTCCTCCCCCCCGCCTGGGCCCCTGGCCTTCACCCTTTGGTGACCTCGCCTCTGGGGTGGCTGTACTTCAGGATGTGCTCCCCAAACTCGAGAGCAGTCGAAGCCACCAACGTGTGTTTGGTTATACCTAGACAGCCAGCAGCCCCTGCAGCAACCTTGGCTTTATGGAGAGTGTGCTGGAGTGTGCTCCGCCCGAGCCCATGTGATACACTCCTTCCCACAAGCCAGGAGGTCAGTGCAGAGGAGAGAGTGGTGTGACTGTGGGGGGACACAGCCGGCATGTGGCCGATCCCCAGGCAGGAATCTCCTGACCCCAGTTCTGCTTTTATTCTAACCGATCGGCTCCACGGCACCCTCGCAGCCTTTCTCTCTTGAAATTGGGTTTATTAAATAGGCAGTTTATATAGATGTGCTGCAAAATTCAGAGTGGCATCTTGCCTTTTGGTGGCTATAGAAAAATAGTAATACTACTACTATTATTACTATTAGTGCTACTAATATGCTTACTAGTAGATCCTGCTTATTAAGATGTATGCCAGACTCTTTTCTAAATGTTTACCCTCTGTGACTCCTCAGTGACTCGATGATGCAGGTATTACCACTTCCCCATTTTCCTGATGGGAAAACTGAGGCTCCATGGTGACTTGTCTGAGACTACACCGAGATCTGGCCTCTTAGTCTGTGCTATACTCCCCGTGTCACAATCTCCCGCAGAAGAGTGTCTGGTTGACAGATGGGTCTGAGTGCATTTGACCAGCATCCAATTTTTTGCTATTATTATGCTGCTGTGAATTTCCTCGTACATGTGTGATTTCCGCATGCATGTGACTCTATCTTTTAGATAAATGCCTTGGAGTGGAATTGCTGGGTCAAAGGATGTGTGTGTGTGCTATTTTATTGTTGCCATGATGCTTTGCTTATCCTCTTAGTAAGCAACCAGGCTTTAAACTAACTTTGCCTTAGTTACCAATTCTTTTGTTTTCCAATTACAGTTGACATACAAAATTATATTAGTTTCTGGGGCAATAACATAGTGATTAGACATTTATATAACTTGCGACGTGATCACCCAGTAAGTCTAGTACCCACCTGGCACTAGACATAGCTATTAAATATTACTGATTATATTCCCTATGCTGTACTTGACATCCCCATGACTGTTTTCATAACTGGCAATTTGTATGTCTTAATTCCTCCCCCCTTGTCACCCGTCCTCCCAACCCTTTCCCATTTGGCAAACATCAATTTGTTCTCTATAGCCATGAGTTTGTTTTTGTTTCGTGTGTATATGTTTATTTTGTTTTTGTTTTGTTTTGTTTTGTTTTTTGTGTTTTTTTTTTAAAATATATTTTATTGATATTTTACAGAGAGGAAAGGAGAGAGACAGAGAGTCAGAAACATCGATGAGAGAGAAACATCAATCAGCCGCCCCCCGCACATCTCCCACTGGGGATATGCCCGCAACCCAGGCACATGCCCTTGACCGGAATCGAACCCGGGACCCTTCAGTCCGCAGGCCGACGCTCTATCCACTGAGCCAAACCGGTTTCGGCTATTTTGTTTTTTAGATTCTTATTCCATGTGGTTTAACAAACAGGTATTGGACAAGCACCTGGGGAGATAGAAAAGTTAGGGAGCTTGAAAGCTGCCCTCACAGTCCAGCAGGGAACACTGACCCATCCCCAGGGAACTGGTATCTGGACTGCCTAAGTCTGTCAGGGTCCAGGGCTGCACAGGCCTGGTGTTTGGAGTCAGAATTCAGCTCCACTGTGCTCTCTCCTGGTTCTGATGAGTGTACAGTAAACATTAGCCATTTCTACCATCATGACACTCTGGGCTCGTCCCCACCCTGCTGACAACACTCTCTAGAGCTGAGTAGCAGCTGCCCCCTTTTAATTGTCCTTACTGAGTTCAGAGAAGTTAATGATCTTGTCACGGTTACACAGCCAGATCATCTCTCTCCCTCTCTCTCTCTTTTTTTTATTTCCTTTCTGGAGACTCCAGAAAACTGGCTTTTTATGGGATATGTCTTAACTTTTTAATGTGAGTAACTAATTAGGATAAAAAACAATGAAAACCCACTGTCAAGGCCAAACAAAAGCCATCTGCAGACCAGATGTGGCTGGTAGGACACCAGTTTGCCTCAGAGTCCGGCAGGCATGGGTTTGTGTCCCAACTCAGCCACTTACAAGATCTGCAACCACATCATTGTTAGAAGCCTGGTGTCCTCATCTGCAGAAGGGCAGTGATAATCCCTGCTTTGCATGGTTGAGTTTGAGTGATTGACTATTTGTGTAAATTACCTGGCATATTGTGAGTACTCAGTGGATGGTAGATCACTATCATTGTTATGGCAATGACGTTAAATGAAATCAGGGCTATGGTAGGTGGTGATGTTGGAGGAAAACTGACTCCATTTTGAGCTTGTCAAGATGTCGGTGTTCAGAGGATGCCCAGATGGAGATGTCTAGAGACAGTTGGAATTGTGCATGGGGACAGGAGATTTTCATGTGGGGGAGGGGGTCTTCCATTGAGTCTGTCATTACATAGAGGTGAGACTTTTTTTAAACTTTTTAAAAATCTTTATTGTTGAAAGTATTACATATGTCCCCTTCCCCCTCCCCCGCCCTCCCATTGACCTGTTCTAGCCCCACCTCTGCCCCAGGCCTTCACCACCCTATTGTCTGTGTCCATGGGTTATGCATATATGCATACAAGTTCTTTGGTTGATCTCTCCCCACCCACCCACCCTCCCCCTGCCTTCCATCTGAGGTTCAACAGTTTGTTCCATGCTTCTATGTCTCTGGATCTATTTTGTTCATCAGTTTATTTTGTTCATTAGATTGCACATATGAGTGAGATCATGTGATACTTATCTTTCTCTGACTTGCTTATGTCGCTTAGCATAATACCCTCCAGGTCCATCTATGCTGTTGCAAATGGTAAGAGTTCTCTCTTTTCTTAACACTTTATGCATTCATTTGAGAGTTTTGAAAGTTCATGGGCTTCTAGCCACCACCTCCATGGTGGATGATCTGTAGGCTCGTTGTCATTGCTTCCTGGAGAATAGCACAGTTTCCTGACCTGGCTGCTCTTGCAATGGGAGGTGAACCTAAAAAAGGAAAGTCAAACTGGGGTTAGTTCTCAGAGAGAGAATGCAGTGTGCGAGGCAGAGGTGATGGAGGCTGCAGACAGAGGCCACTCACTTGCCATTATGAACAAGGAACAAGCATTTTCTGGGAATTCTCCTCCACTGTGGGACCTTGTTCTCTTATTGGAAGAACCACTAGGTTCCATTTAGGAGATGTGGGCTCTCACTGCTTTCCGCTTTACATTCTCTCTGTGACCTTGGTCAAGTCACGTCTACCCTTTGGACCTAAGGTCATCATTTATAAAGCAAGTGTATTGGACTGTGTGTTGATTTGCTAAGGCTACCAATACAAAGTACCACAGATGGGTGGCTTGATCAACAGAAATGATTTTTCTCACAGTTCTGGAGGCTGGAAGTTCAAAATCCAAGTGTCAGCACTGTCAGGTTCTGGTGAGAACTTTCCTTGACCTATAGACGGCCGTCTTCTCCCTGTGTCTTCTCCCTGTTGCTGTGTGTGTCTATGTCCTAATCTTCTTATAAGGACCCCAGGCATAGACTGGGGCTTACCCCCATGTCCTCATTTTAACTTAATTACCCCTTTAAAGGTCCTTTTTCCGATTAGAGTCATATTCTGAGGTACTAGGTGGGGATTAGGATTTCAACATATGAATTGAGGGAGGGGGGCATATTTCAGCCCATAACAGCCCATCAGTGCTTCCTAAAGTACAGCTACTGCTGCTGGTAGAATCGACTTTATATCAAATGCAGAAATAAGTTTTAAAGAACAATCTAGTCTTCTAATTACTTTCAGAAGAAAATGTTTGGTTTAGTACTCATGTGCCCCTGGTAACCTTTCTGACCCCTGCCAGAGCAAACGGAGAACAGGCCTCAGACAGGGAGCCTCAGGCAGGCAATCATCTCTGTCTTACTTACCTACTGCTACACCACAAACACACTCAAACTTAGTGGTTTAGCACAATTCACATTTATTAGACCACGGTTTCTATAGGTCAGGAATTCAGAAGCCACTCAGGGGTGGTCATTCCAATTCAAGGTTTCTCGTGAGGTGCAGTCACCTAAAGTCTTGCTGGGACCAGTGGATACACCTGGAAGGTGGATCAAGTTGGGACTGGCTGTTGGAGGGAGCCCTCTGTTCCTTGTCACGTGGCTGCTTGAGTGTCCTCAGAACATGGCAGCTGGCTCCCTCCAGAATGAGCAATGGAGAAAAGAGAGCCAGGAGGAAGCCACAAAGCCTTTTCATCCTATGTGGAATGAATAAAGCACAGGTCAGCCTTATTCTGTGTGGGAGGGGACCACACAAGGGCAAGACTACCAGGAGGCAAGGATCACTGGGGGCTATCTCAGAGACAGACACAGTAGAAATTAAGAAAGAGCTTTACTTTCTCATTACCTAATTGTCTGGTTACCTATTCTGTATTTGTATGCACAGAACATATAAACAGGGTGGGGCAAAAGGAGGTTTACAGTTGTGAGTACTCGAAACAGTTTATTCTTGTATTATTTATTCATTATTGTATTATTTTCCGTATGAACTGTAAACCTACTTTTGCCCCACCCTGTATTAGTATTTTGTACTCTTTTAATTTGCTTGAGTGATATGCTATTTAAAGTATGTAACCTGCTTTTTTTCACTCAATAATGTTTTTTACATCAATCTGTATTGATATAAATAGATCTGATTCATTCCTTTAAATTTTAAGTACATACTATTTTGATTTATCCATTCCTCTATTAATAACCACTTAGATTGTTTTCAATTTTTTAATTTATAACAGTGATGACTCAAACATCCTAGTACACGTCCTAGTGTTCTAGAATATGTGTATTTTATATTTGGCTAGATGGGGGCCAATTGTTCTTTACAACAGTTACACTGATTTACACTCCCCTACAAAATAGGAATATTTACTTTTCTCCACAATATTACTAACATTTGTTGTTGCCAGACACGTTCATTTTTGCCAATCTGATGGGCAGAGAAATAGTATCTCAATGTTTTATGTTTTTAATTATGGTAAAAACACGTAACATAACTTACCATATTAACCATTTCTAAGTGTATGGTTTCATAGCAAGTACATTCACACTATTGTGCAACAGCTCTCTTGTTCATCTTGCAAAACAGAAACTCCATACTAGCTGAACATTAACTCCCCATTCACCCTCCCTCCAGCCCCTAGAAGAAACCATTCTATTAGTAAACACCATTCTACTTTAGTCACTCATATATGTAAAACATACAGTATTTTCTATGCCTGTCTTATTTCACTTTGCGTAAGATCCTCAAGGCTCACTCGTGTTGTAGCATGTGACAGGATTTCCTTCTTTTTAGAGGCTGAATAATATTCCATTGTGTGGATATTCCCATTTTTTTATCCATTCATCCAAAAATCGATACTTGATTTGCTTGTACTTCTTGGCTATTGTGAGTAATGCTGCTATGAACATGGGTGTATGAATCTCTTATTTTAAGTCTTTTGTATATATACCCAGAAGTATATATACCCAGTTCGATCATATGGTAATTTTTTTTTTTTAAGAACCCACATACTGTTCTCCATAGCAGCTGCATCATTTTATACTCTGACCAATAGTGCCCAAGGGTTCCAGTTTCTCCACATTCTCATCAACACATGTTATTTTCAACATTTTAATTTTCCCTCTCCCTGAGCACGAGTGAGGCTGGACATCTTAACACACTGCCCTTTGAACAAGGGGAAAATTGTGGTTCTGGGAGATTAAATTGCTTTCCCTAAAGCACTGGGCTAGTCGGTGGTGCAGCCAAATCAGAACCCAGAGTTGTGTGGCCCATACACCCATGTTCTCTCCAACATGTGACCCTGACTTTAAACTTGCTGTGCTTCTTTAAGAAAAGGAAGGAGGGAGCAGAGCGGCTCCTGGCTTCTGAATTCCTGCCTGTTGTGCCTCTGACAAGTGGGGAATCTACAGAGCATTATTTTTCTTGGATCTGCAGGCCAAGTGGCGTTACCTCCACCGAGGAGGAAGCGGTGTCTAAGCTAATACCCCGGACGGGAAATATGTGCCCAGAAGATTAGCTCTATTGTGTGGGGCTGGACGCTTTCCACTGACTTTGTTTATGGGACAGATTGTTTTTGTGAAGTTGTTTGCTCCGGTGAGCCTCCAAGCTCCGGCGGCCTCCTGGCCCTGGAGAGGGTCAGATTTACGGGCAGACCGGTGGAGGCCAGGAAAGGCTACAAAGGAACAGGCCCTCTGGGGGACTTCAGGAGTCGGTCTGGGGCTTCCTCAGAAAGCAAAATTGTAGCCCGCTTTTATTTGATTTTAAAAATTGGATGTGCAACAGTGTGGTGGAGTTTTCTTCCTCCTCGGCTCTTGGAGCTGGCATTTTCATGTCACTGTTCACAGCCCATGGCAGCTCACCTCTGTACACCTCCTCATGTGTTCCTGGGATACTGAGGTTGGTCCCCCTCCAAGTCTTCCTGCCAGAAGCACCATATACCTAACAGCACACGCTTCCTTGTTCCCATTTGTTCCAAATCAGTTAGCAGACGGCACTTGGAGAGCACGTGATTCACACACACACACACACACACACACACACACACACACACACACACAGGCCACTAGCCATCTCTCCTCGGGTGGTCTAGGAGAACTCATTGTGTCTGGCATGTGGTACAGATACCAATTGCTACCATGTGCTCCTTCTTTATTGTTCCATCTTCCTACCCACCCACCCAGCCACCCACCCAGCCTGACTGCCCCGTCACCCTGAGCTTCCATACTGTTTCAAACCTCAAGAATTTAGGCCAGTCACTGGCAGAGAAGGATGCAGAAATAAGGAGGAGCTAGAAAGCTCCTCAGCTTTTCTGAGCCTCCTCTTTCTTACTTGTACAATGGTATAAGGGGGCCACCCTGGCTGCTGAGGTTATTGAGAAAGTCAAGGACATTAGTAGCTAACGCCCTGAGTACAGGCTTAGGTACCGGAGAAGCACTCAAAAAATGGTTCTTATTATTTCCTGAATGCTCATCTTGGGTCAGACCCTCTGCTAGGGACATGGGAAGATGAATGAGACACAACTGTGTCTCTAAGAACTCGTGTTCAAGTGAGAGAACCACAATGAACAGACTAGCGTACATAGTGTGGTGATAGAGAGGAGCACAGAGTAGACACCTAAACCAGCCTGGGGGTATCAGGGATGTCTTCCTGGAGGAGGTGACATCTGAACTGAACTGAAGAGTGACTCCCTCTACTGTTTAGGTGTTCTTGCCAAAAGCATGCTAGAACTTCACATGATACTAGTTGGTAGCCATGTCCGGTGTAAGGCCTTTCCTATCTGCTCCAGTCCTGGTTGGCCTTCTCTCTTGAACCCCCTCAATTCTGTATTGAAGAAGGAAATCTATACTTAACTATTCCCTCTCTGCTGTAATATGGTTTAAATGCCATTCTCTATCACCTTAAAAGTTTTCATGACTCCCATAGTCCCTGGCAAAAGCCTTAATCATCCATCCATTCATTCATTCATTCATTCATTCACTCATTTAATCAATCTACTAAATGTCAATAAACACCAATTGGTAACAAGATTAATCTAACCCAGGAAAGCATTCCAGGGTCTGTACAAGTATCAAAATGAAGCCTGTTTGTCTCTTTCCTATCACTGAGCCACCATCCAGACTCCAGCAGCTCTGGGCCCCATTGATGGCAGCTTCTATGGCCAGACAACTGAATGGAAGAGAGGGCCAGCTTTGAAGTCCCACGTCTAGCATGTGACCTATGTCACACTCCTTCATGGCCCCCATCCTCCTTTTAATCTCATCATCCTGGGAGGTGGCCTCTGTTATTTCTGTTTCCCTGCTCCCAGCAGGTTGTGTTGGTTGGGTCAGCATCTGGTGGACTCCTAGACAGTTGGCAGTCAGCTCAGTCCACTCAAAGTGCCTCCAGCTGACCAGCCCTGCCTCAACTCTTTCTGGTGCCAAACTTCCCTCTGGAGTCTGGCTACCACACCCATTTTCCCCTAGTCATCTAAGGTCACCTTGTAGTTCTCTGTCTCAGGGCCACTTCACCCTCTGACAGCAAAATCTCACCCACTGGCACCGTCAGCTACTTTCTGTATCCCCTCCCCAGGGCACACGGAAGCTTCTGGATACAAAATTGAAGCCCTCCCTCTGCCTAACCATATTGTGAACTCATTTTATTTTAATGTCTCTTCCTGGAATCCCATTTGGGAAATGATACAAAGACTTCTCTGCCCTTGGCTCTCCCCACTAACAGCCTTCTAGGAGCTGCCTAGATGGCCATCCCAACACAGCTGACTGCTTCCCTGCTTCTCTCCCTCTTCTTCTAGAGCAGGGGTGGGCAAACTTTTTGACTCGAGGGCCACAATGGGTTCTTAAACTGGACCGGAGGGCCGGAACAAAAGCATGGATGGAGTGTTTGTGTGAACTAATATAAATTCAAAGTAAACATCATTACATAAAAGGGTACGGTCTTTTTTTTTTTAGTTTTATTCATTTCAAACGGCCGGATCCGGCCCGTGGGCCGTAGTTTGCCCACGGCTGTTCTAGACTCTCAACTCCACTAGCCCACGAGTGGGGAGGAGAGTGGCTCAAGGAAGGAAGCTGACAATTAGGGAATGTATGTTGGCTGATATTTGAAAATCTGACCTGTTCCAACGGTCAAATGAGAGATGGTACATGTGCTTCTGTACACATGACCAGTGGTCGGCAAACTGCGGCTTGCGAGCCACATGCGGCTCTTTGGCCCCTTGAGTGTAGCTCTTCCTAAGCCTTAGGAGTACCCTAATTAAGTTAATAACAATGTACCTACCTATATTGTTTAAGTTTAAAAAATTTGGCTCTGAAAAGAAATTTCAATCGTCGTACTGTTGATATTTGGCTCTGTTGACTAATGAGTTTGCTGACCACTGGAATAGACCAAAAGAATAGAAAGAGTATAGGTTCTGGAATCAAAGCACTTGGGTTCACATTCAACCTCCACCAGCTAGAAGCTGTCTGACTTTTGGAAAATCATTTAAACTCTCTGAAACTCAGTTTGTTCATCTGTAAAATGGGGATGATATTAACCCCTACCTCACTGAGTTGAGAGAGAGAAATGAATTAATGCCCTTTGTTCATTAGGATGTGTGCTTGGGTGCTAATAATAAAAATTGGGTGCCAGTTTCATTTGGGGATTAGTGCTCTTTGGTGCCACCTGAATAAAAGTGAGGATATTTGTTAGTAAGGAAGAAGGAAATGAAAGTTGTGTACGTCCCTAGCAAATGGTTTCTGTCGTGGCTGGTAATGTGTTCTGGACATAGTACCTAGGGCAGAGGAAGTACTGGAAGATGGTAGTTAGGGGGAGCAGTCTTGGTCATGAGCTGTGTCACAGGGGATCTGAAGTTTGGACTGGGATCTACTTGCTTGCAAGGCAATTAGCGAAGAGAGACTGTTGGGTCCCTTGGAATCACCTAGTCAAGGCAGTACTCACTGTTTCCCTGCCAGAGCCCTCTTTGCATGACACACAGGGCATGCTTACTAGATATTTTGTGGTGGAATGAATAAATGAACCCCTTTGACCCCATTGGGCTGTAGCCCCACTTCTGACCCCAATTTAGAATCTCTGTCCCTACAACCTCCAAGTGACCTCTGAGTGGCTTTGGTTGAGCCCCAGTTGCAATGCACAGTTCTGTCCTTCCCACGGTGCACAGCAGCAAAATCTCATATTAGATTTCATTTCCAGCATTTCTTGGCCTGCACTTCGGAATATGCGAGGCTTTATGCACTCCGCCCTTTTGTGTGCCAGCGTCTGTCTCCCTCTCCACCCGCTAAAGGTGCTAATCCAGCAGCTCACCGTAAATGGTGTGAATTTCTTCCAACTGCCATGGTCATGTTTCTTAATCAATAGCCTGCCTTGTCAGCACCAAGCAAACACAGCTTCGGTTTGAGAGGGAAGAAGCCACTGCTGCAATGCACGCACGGAAGGGGAAGGAGTCCTTTCTTTCCTACATTAATTAGGCCGGTGAGTCAACAAATAATAGCAGTGCTTTGAGTAATGACTGTGTGCCAGGCACTGCTCTAAGCACTACACACATGCATTGACTCATTTAATCCTTACACTCTTCCAAGGTGCTGTGACTGTCTCTATTTTATACGTGAGGGAACCAGAGAACAGGTTGGTTACTAGTAATAGTTACTGAATGTTATCATGAGTCAGGCACTTGCCTAGGGGCTGAAGATGTTGTAGTGAATAAGACACTTATGAATTCCTGTCTCAGGGCACTTGGAGTCTATTGGAGGATGTGGACAACATACGCACAGCTAAATTAACGGAGTAATTTCAAATATGTTTTAATTAGGGCTACTTTTGCCTGCAAGTATCAGATAACCCAATTGCAGTGGTGTAAGCCCTAGGGATTTATTTTACTCCCGAGAACAACAGATGGTAAGAGGTGCTGGTGCTGATTCTATGACTCAAGAAGCCGACATTTGCATGGTCTTTCGCTCATGGCCCTAGAATGGCTGAATAGCTCTAGTCATCACCCCTGTGATTCAGCAAGAAGGTGGAAGAGGGGGAGGAGACAGCACCGGCATCTCTTACTGACCAGATCTGGGGCAGATGGCCACCTTGGCCTGACGGTCAGTAAGGAGAAATCAAACAGGACTATGGGAGAGACGGCTCCTGCATGTATGTAGGGTGGCCAGGGGAGGTGACATTTGAACAGAGACCCAATGACAAGGCGCCAGCCCTGCAAATATTTGGGGACAGAGTATTCCACAGGGAGAACATCACAAAACAAAGCGTCTCTCCTGCAGAAACAAGCACGATGAGATCTTGGAAGAGAGAGAAGTTCAGAGTGGATGGAGCATGAGAGTAATGAGCAAACAAAACAACGGCTAAGGAGGAAGGGAGCTGGACTGTGCAGGGTCTTTTAGGTCCTCAAAGGAGTTTGGATCTTAGTCCACGTGTGATGGAAAGCTCCTGGAGGCTTTTAATCAGGGGAGTGAAATAATCTGATTCATGTCTTGAAAGGGATTATTGGGGCAGAAGAACAGTTGTGAGAGTCACAAGGCTTAAGGAGACTTAATTCTAGGTGATGGTATAGTTTTTCCAAGCTCCTTTTTCTTGGGTTTACTTTTTTCTGCCTCTTGGACCACCTCCCCCCACCCCTTTTTGTTTCACGGCAGCTCCTTAAGATCTGAACTGTGTCCTGCTCGCTTCCGTGCCCCAGTACCCAGCGCAGGCCAGGCACGGTGGCGGGACTTGGTAAACATCACCAGAGCCGAACTGGACAAAGGCGAGTGCTTACTCCAGGGCTCCCAAACTTCGATCTCTCACATTCCACTCTCATGTTTTTTGGCCAGATCAGTGGCTCATAACCAAGTGAGTTTGCCTCCCAGGGGAGCATTTGGTAATGTCTGGAGATATTTTTGGCCATCACAACCAGAGGGAGTGTGGGGGATGCTTCTGGCATCTAGTAGGTGGGGACCAGAGATGCTGCTAAACACCCTACATAGCACAGGACAGCTCCGCGCAAAACTGAATGATCTGCCCCCAAATGCCACTAGGATTGAGTTTGAGAGGACCTGGACTAGATCTATATTCCTGTTCTAGCATTCCCTTAATATCGCCCTTTAAATTAATTCACTCTTTAAATTTAAAAAAGTTTAGGAAAACCATATGTCACTGCCATGAATAAGAAACCAGTGCCCTAAGTAGAAAATAATTGGAGCCCAGCCGGCGTGGCTAGGGGTTGAGCGTCAACCTCTGAACCAGGAGGTCACAGTTTGATTCCCGGTCAGGGCAGGCTCGATCCCCACTGGGGAGCATGCAGGAAGCAGCCGATCAATGATTCTCTCTCATCCTTGATATTTCTATCTCTCTCTCCCCCTCCCTTCCTCTCTGAAATCAATAAAAATAAAAAAATAATTGGCAAGATAAACACTCAGAAAACAAAAGCTGATCACATGCTAACTGGATGTTGTTCCTCGTTCAAAGCTGAGTTTCCCTTCGTTAAAAAGGGAGTTAGGTCAATGACATGAACGACGAAGAAAGACTGAGGAACTATTTCAGATTAAGTCAGACTGGAGCAAAATGGCAGATAATCGCACTGGAGTTCTGGAGTGGCACCAGGACTAGAAAATCCCTGCAGTGACTTCAGTGGGACAGTTGGCAAACTTGGAATATTACATGGTGCATATGAGATACTGGCATGGTATCAATAGGAAATTTTCTGAATTTAGCAACTGTATTACAGTTATGTAAGGAAATGTCCTTGTTCTTGGGAGCTTCATGAAATATTTAGGAATAAAAGATCATGATATTGGTCAACTTATTCTGAAATGCTTTTTTAAAAAGTGTATTTGTGTATTTATATGCATGTGCATATATTGTGTATATGTGTGTGTATAAAAATACACTTATTCACATACACAGACACAACACATGCACACAACACACAAAGAAAGCAGACATGGTAGAATCTAGGTTAAGAGCATGAGAGTTTATTGTGCTGTTCCTGCAACTTTCTTGCAGGTCTGGATTTTTGCAAAATAAAAATTAACAGCAAGAAAGCAAATAAAAGACCTTTCCTGAATGTAGTATCTCTACAATCACAAAAGCCTGGAATTTTTTGGAAGCTCAGGAGGGCTTCAAATACTAGTTTCTAATGAGTTCGACGCTTCGTAGTTTGCTCCCAGAGTAGATAAGAAAAATTAATATGTCTATCAAGTGGAAAAACATCTTCCATGCCATCCCATTTATGCTGACAAGACAGTTAAATTGACTCCCGAATGATTCTAGAATTACTTTGTCCGGGTGTTCTATTGCTGTAACATCACGTATCTGTCGAGCTGTACTTATGTAAAGCCACGAGGGAATGAATATATTCCAGTCAGTGTGCCTGAGGCTGGGATGCTCTTTATTGATAATAAAAAGAAATATTTTCTTTCAGAAAAGATTAGCAAGTCTTAGGGAAATACAGAGTAGCACCAACAGAAGGCTTTCTCAGCGGGAGGACTGAGAGCAAGTTGAAAGACGGATGATTTTCTCCCTCTGTGATTCATTGTTTTCAGCCAAGGGTCAGTCCACCCAAGAAGCTCAGTCGTGGGTGTTTCTCTTCAGTCTATGAAAGTCCTAGCCCTAAGACTCAGCTTTCTCAGCTGCAAAAATGGAGATAACACACCAAAAGCCAGGTGCCAATTTGGGGGCGGGCCATCCTACCCTTTGAAGTCTCTAGATTATAGGAACCTGATTGCCACTCCCAACCGCATTCCAAGTCCTAGGGAAATTCCAATGTCCTTGCAAAGATGTCATCGTATTCGTGGAGCCTGACATTCTCACAGTCACCTGGGCCTTGACTTCCTCCTTTCTCTGCCCACTTCTCTGTCTCCCTCTGGCTCCTGTGGCAATGCATTTGTCTTCACTCTGCAGGCACTCAGGCCGCTGTCTGTGTATGCATGCGAGTGTCTGTGTGAGTCTGAGTATGTGTCTGTAAATGGTTCTGTCTCAGTCTGTGTGTATTGCTGTGCCTGTCTGTGCTGGGTGTGTCTTTGTTTGTATGTGCCCTTGCGAATTTATATGTGTCTGTATCTGTCTATTCTCTGGGTGTGTTTGTGTGTGTCTTTGTGTGTTTGACTCATACAGACATGCATGTACAGACACACACAGACATATACTCAGATACACACAGACACACATGTGCATGCACAGGCAGACACATACTCAGATACTCATAGACATACACACACATGCATGTACAGACAGATATACCTGCACAGAGACACACAGAAGCATGCGCAGGCAGACATACTCACAGACACACAGACATGCACTCACATGCACAGACACACATAGACACAGACACACAGACACACATATAGATACATACAGACACACCCTATCTGAGTATGTGGTAGACTATACAAGTTTCTGGGGGGTCCGGAAGGAGTTTTCAATGCAAACACCTTATAAGTGAGCATTAAGTATCTTCCTTCAAGATCCCCTAAGTAACTTTCCCTTCCTCCCTTCTTTTACTCTCCCACCCCAAATATTCTTCTTACTTTTTTTCTTATCGGAACAACTCATTTCTTCTAAATTCATTTCATACTCTGCTCTGGGAGTTGCATTGCATGTCTCCTCTCTCATGAATGTGCTGTGCCCTCCAATCTGGTCTCTTCCTCTCTCAGGTTCTGCCAGGGGAAAAGAACAGCATAGAGGTTAATTTCTCCACTGATATGAAGAATGCCACACACCCTCACACAACCTTAAAATACGGGCCTGGTGTCTCAGTCTACTTGGGCTGTTATCACAAAAATGCCATAGAGTAGGTAGCTTAAAAAACAAACATTGATTTCTCACATTTCTAGAGGTTGGGAAGTCCAAGGTCATGGCACTGGCAGATTTGGTATCTGGTGATAGCATACTTCTTGGTTTCTTGATTCACTGTGTCCACCCATGACAGAATGGGGTGAGAGAGCTCTCTGAGGTCTCTTTTACAAGGGCACTAATCCTATTTGTAAGGGCTCCATCCTCATGATCCAGTCACCTCCCAAAGGTCTCCCATCCAAATATCATCACATTCAATACGAGGTTCCAGCATATCAATTTGGTAGGGGAGGAGGAACACAATCATTTAGAACATAGCACACGATTACACTCCATTTCATTATTACCATTTAGGGTTGTATTGGTGGTACTGCTGATGGGTTCATTCATCTCTCCCTGGTAGGATTATTGGGAGGACAACGTGAATATGGTGGTAGTAGATGTGGTGGTGGCAGTGTACACTGTGGATTTAGGATTCTAATCTAAGTCAACATACAACCTAATAGGTATTCATAATAATTTGTGACACAGGTCCCCATTCTTTGGGTCTCAACCTCAGTGTCATCACCTTAGAAATGCTTTTCCAGGTCTCCTCATTGATTTCCTTCAGGGCATTTGTCACAGTTTGCAGTTATTTTATTTATTTTTTGTGCATTATGTTTGGTCTGTTCTCCTCCCTTAGATAGTAAGCTCTCTGAAGACAGGGACCATGCCTTATGTTTGCCATTATATCCCCAGGGCCCAGTGCAGAACTTAATAAGCATAAGCACTTATTGTTGAGTGAAACTCCCCTCATATTCCTTCCTCAAGAACTGGATAGCTCTTAAGAGCCTTACTTCTTATACCAGTTTTTATTTTTAATTAAATGTATTAGCGTAACAATGATTGACAATTTTACTGGTTTTGGAATGGATGGTTTCTAGGTTGCTCCTGAAAAACCCTATCAGCCATAACCAGAAAAATTCAGCACCTCATTTTTTAAGACTTTTTATTTTAAAACTAGAGGCTTGGCACATGAAATTTGTGCATGGTACAGTCCCTAGACCTGTTCTGTGATTAAGGCCATCTTCCCCAGCTGCCTGCAGCCGGCCCTGCCCACCACCACCACCCACTCCCAGTTCCCCATTTACTATAGGGCGATTGGTAGGGGAAGGGACCGAGAGGTTGGCTGTTCCTGCCTGCTTGCTGGCCCTGCCCCCACTGCAGATGGCCATCAGGTGATCGGAGCCTGCTGGCCGGGGAGAGGGACCAAGAGGTGGTCAGTGTGCCTCATAGTGACTGGCCCAGTGGTCGTTCTGCCTTTAGGGTCAATTTGCATATTACCCTTTTATTATATAGGATGATTTTAGACTTTCAGCAAAGTATTTCCATATACTCTTCACCCAGCACCTCCCAATGTTAGCATCTTCTATAATATTAGCAAGACTAAGAAATTAACATGGATACAACATTAACTAACCCTCGGACTTCCTTCAGATTGCACCAGTGTTTCCCCTAATATTCTTTTCTATGCAAGGTCCCACTTCGTTATCATATTTCCTTGTTCTCCTCCAATCTGTGACAACTCCTCAGTTTTCCCCTGTCTTTCATGACAGTGGCACTTAAAAAAATACTGGTCAGGTATTTTGTAGAATGTCCCTCAGTTTGGGTTTGTCTGATGTTTTCTTCTGATGTGACAGGGGGTCTAGGGAACAGCACCACAGAGGTGAAGTGCCCTCCTCATTGAATTGTATCAGGGGTTCATAGCAACCTGGCTTATTACTACTGACATTAACCTCAATCACTTGATTAGTGTGGTATCTATAATTAATATGGAATCATGGGTATTTATTTTATTCTGTGGCTTTTAATCCAACTGTCATTATTTTGTTGCTCTTTAAGGTTAACTCCTAAATGTTTTCAACAAGCACCATTTTTTTTTTAGAAATTCCCTATTTTCTGGCACCACAATTCCCTATTTTCTGGTTCAAGGTCCATCTTATATTTTTCCTGCCTCAGGTCTGTAATCAACCACTTCTATAAGGAGCCCTGGTTCCTTTTATTGGAGAATGGTGTTTAGAAACCAAGATCTGGGTGGTTAATGTGCTCATTGCTACTGGGCAATCCTTGCTTCTAGGCCCTCTCAGTGTTCAGAGCTTGGAAATATATTCTGTATACAAATCCATGTATACACACACATCTAGTATATTTATATCTGTATCTATCTATCTATTTAAGAAAATTTTTATTTTTCATACTAAATACTACTGATTTCAATCCATCACCATTCTGCTTGCCTCCCTCTTTTTATTTATAACTTCCCTTTTTTATAACTTTGTTGTTTTTTTTTTAATTGAAGGGCTGATCTTTAAATCTTGATAAATTGTAAAAAGTGTTTCTGTCTCACCCTTCCTCCCTGGAAATGGCCGACATGAGAACACAGCATTACTAGACGTTGCAGTCAGAAGCTAGACGAAAGAGAACCCAGCAGATTGCATGGTTTATCTTAGTGCAAAAAAGCACTAATTACACACTTTATATTTTATCGGCAGTAGGGTGCATGAGGGTCAGCCCAGACTCTGGAATGTGAGCTCATTGTTCCAGCCAAATGAGTCAGTTGAGATGGGAATGCAAATTTATTTGAGCAGTTGAGTATCAACATGGTTCTGAAAAAGAAAAAAAAGTTTGCCTCTTTTCTTCTCCAGCCCCCTGCATAAAACTCACCCAGTGGTCCTCTTACTTGGACTACTGTCTTTGCTCCTAGGAACACCTTGTCTCTTGCTGGTTCTGCCCTCTTTTCTCCTCATTGATTTCTCTTCCCTCCCCTCCCAACATCCATCTTTATTTCTCTTTCATAGACGCTGTGAATTTTCACCAAACAGCAGGTCTTAGCAGAAACCTTTCATGGCTGGTCTTCAGTCTTTTTTTTTAATCAGAAAAGCCAAGGTTACATTTTCCTTTATTTTGTTGTCTGAGGTTTGGTTCCCTGTTCCTGGGGGAATTTTCTGTTCTTCCGTCCTTTCATAACAGCTTGGAGTTTTTCTGCATGAAACCTCAAGGAATGCTTTACTGAAAACCAAACTTTTGCCCACCACACTCCGGATGTGTGAAAAATAAGTTAGGAAGGGTAAGAGTTGCTCACTCTGATGGCACATGAAACATTTATTATTTGAAACTCAAAAGCCTGACTCCTTTAGCTCCTTCTGGGAAGAAAGAAATAAGCCGGTTCCAGGTATTATTCCTTGTAGTGTTATCAATGAGTCCAGAAGCCCACAGACCTGTTTGACTAGGATCCTGCCACTCCCAGAGCCAGGGGTGGGGGCCACTCTCACAGTGGCCTGGGCTGACCAGGAATGAACTCAGAATGCCCCAGAGCGAGATGATGTCAAGTCAGGGAGAGGGGGAGCCTCAGGAGAGCTCATATTTTCTTAGCTGCATCCAGGAAGCCTAGATGAGAAGGTCTTGGCAGACACAACTTCCTGAGGAGCCAACTGGGCAGCTTCTGGGGGGCACTAGGGGTATTAAATCGTTGTGGGCACTGAACCATCAGGGAGACAATGAAGAACTCATTTCAAGAATTCAAAGAATACTATCCTTTCTTGGAAGGAATCCTTAGCAAAGTCACCTAGGGCTTGTTGGAAAGGGATGAAGAATGTGGTGATTAATAATGATAGCAATGGGGACATGCTGAGTGTAGTGGTAGCAATAATAATAATAAAAGTAGACAATGATGGCAATCATAACAGTTATGAAGGTGGCTGGACTTTGATTCAGTTCTTCCTTATAAGCAGGGCAGTATGTATCAGTTTACTGTATACATTGTATCTCACTCAATTCTTACAATAATTGTGTGAGGAAGTACTTTCATTTGTCCCATTTTACATCTAAGAAACTGAGGATTGGCAGGGTTTAAGTATGGTGCTTGGGGTCACAGAGCTACAAAGTGGTGAAGGCTGGATTAAAATTCTCCACCTGCTCTCTGAAATACTTCACTATGTGGTCTTCTTGGGAGGGTCTGTCTTGTGAGCTGTAGGGTTTTGGTTTTGCTGAGCTGGTTGGTATTCAGGTAGCTATGACTTATGCTTTAGCCCAAGTGCCCACAATGCTAATCAGATGGTCCAGAGACAGGAACTCAAGGCCCTGCCCTCCACAGGGCTGCAGTCTAATGATGGAGGCGCATGCAAGGCCATTTGCAGGACCGTACTGTGGGGAATGGTCACAGAACCAAGGATGGGGTCATCAAAGTGAGTCCAAAGATTCAGCCGGTGTTTGGAGCTAGAGTGGCAGGAATGGAGGGAAAGTATACTACGCAACGTGACAAGCTTGAGCCAAAGCATGGAGGTATGAAATAACTCCATGGGCCTAGAGGTATGGGACTAGAATGACAAGCACTTGAGCGTGGCTGGAAGATAAGGTTGTAGGTGAAGGGGGAGACAAGAGCTATCACTGGTGAGATAAGCAGGGGCCTTGTGTGAACCAGCTAAGCCCAGTGTTTAAAAATGTGGGCTCACTGGCTGGCGTGGCTCAGCAGTTGAGCATAAACCCATGAACCAGGAGGTCATGGTTTGATTCGCGGGCTTGGTCCCCAGTGAGTGGTGTGTGTAGGAGACAGTCGATCAATGATTCTGCCTCATCATTGATGTTTCTGTCTCTCTCTCCCTCTCTCTCTTCCTCTCTGAAATCAATTACACATACACACACACACACACACACACACACACACATACATACATACTAGAGGTACCACCTTCGCTGCCGGCACCACCTTCACTCTGGCCCGGAGCCACTTTTCTGCCTTCCCATGCTGCCCAGAGGCCCGGAGCAGCTGGGGAGGTGTGGAATGCCTGCGTCATCGCCATGGTGATGACCAACCATCTGGCCCCGC